TCCCATTTGTTATATTTGCTGATGAAATAGGACTATAATACATTTTTTACATGGAGGACCAAAAGTTCACTTGGTCTTTGTTCACATGTTCACATTTTGTTGTACAAACAGTTGAAAAGTCACCGAATATTTCAGCTGTAACTTTTGTTTGTATGGTCTTGAACATCAACACTGTGGTTGTGACTTATCTCATGAATGGTTAAAACAAATTTTCTGGATGCTACTTACTCCTCTCTTTGCAGCTGCTGTTTCTGTCCTAAGAGTCCTTTTCACTGCCTTATGTAGAAATGTTGCATTTCCCAGGCTTATTCACAGCTCTAAAGCCATCATGCTCCATTGTGAAGCTTAGATGCAATTAACATCATCCTCTCTCAGCAACATCCTCTTCTTGTGCTCTTTTCTTTCTTGAACTGTTCATCACTAAATGGATATATTGCTGTATAAATCTATGGTGTACTGACATCTTGAACATTTTATAATTGGTCCTCTAATCTCAAGAAGAACATATTTACACTGGAAATGTTCTATCTAATAGGTGACTGGTTTTCTGATCAAGGAATGGAATGATTCCTGTGTGAGGAACAGTTTGCTGAATCTTCATCCACGCTCTTCAACCTCAAAGAGAGAACTGGTCTGGGTTATGCCTGTATAAAGCTGTGAATGGCATGAACTGAATAGGGAACTTCTTGCATCAAGTTCTGTTCAAGTATTAGTGGGTGTCAAAGCCACATAGCTGATGGTAGGTTCAAACCAAATGCAAAATATAATTCATCGTAACATGCTATTTAGCTGTGGAACTGGTCATCACAGGACATTGTGGATGGTAAAGATTTACATGTGTTCCAAAAGTGATTGGATTAATTCATAGAAGAAAAATATGTCAATGACTATTAAGTACAAAGATTCGCTTCTGACTCAGGAAGTCCCTGAGACAATAATTCCTGGAAGCAGTACTGAAGCTTGCACTGCTCAGATCAAACCTTACCATCTGGCAGGTCTGTTCTTACTTATTTGTGTGATGCCATAGTCTGATACTTGTGGCTTTACTGAGCAAATGCTGGGGAGAACCTTGTCCCAAAGTGTCTGTGCAGCTGAGGAAAAAAGAAAGGTATCACCACAATGAGAAAAAGTCCCAATAGCTCAGTTAAGCTGAGGGGGAAGCAATAAATATCACAAAATAGTTGAGATTGGAAGGGACCTCTAGAGGTCATCTGGTACACCCACCTTGCTCAAGCAGGGCCACTTAGGGCTGGTTGCCCAGCACTACGACCATGTATCCAAGGAGGGAGATTCTACCACCCCTCCAGGCAACCTGTGCCAGTGCTCAGTCATCTTCATAGTGAAAAAGTGTTTCCTGATATTCAAACAATGTCACCTGTGTTTCGGCTTGTGCCCATTGCTTCTGGTCCTGGTAACATCTGAAAAGAATCTGACTGTGTCCCCTTTACACACTCTGACTCTGTCCCCTTTGCACGCTGCCTTCAGGTCATTTTCAGAAAGCTCCTTTCCAGTTGGGTGGCCCGTGACATGTCCTGGTGCATGTGGTTGTTCCTCCTCAGCTTAAAGATTTTGCACTTACTCAACTTCATTGGGTTGGCCTATTTCTCCAGCTTGTTAAGGTCCCTTGGGATGGCAGCATGGCCCTCTGGCATATTGGCCCCTGCTCCCAGTTTTGTGTCATACAAACTGGCTGAGTGTACCCTCTGCACCACCACCTAGATCATTACTGGAGATAGTAAACAGGATTAAACCTAGTATTGACTCCTGGGGTACACTGCTAGTTACTGGCTTCCAGCTAGACTTCATGCCACTGATCACCACCTCCTGGGCCTGGCCATTCAGCCAGTTTTCATTCCATTTCCTTGGCTGCTCATCCAGTTCAAGTTTCAGCAGCTTCCCTGTGAGAATCTTGTGGCAGACAGTGTTGGGAGCCTTGCTAAAGTCTAGGTAGACTATATCCACTGCTCTACCCTTGTCTACCAGTCATTTCATCATAGAAGGTTATCCAGCTTGTCAAGCATGACTTCTGCTTGGTGAATCCATGCTGACTCTTCCTTATGATTCTTCTCTTTCATGTGCTTGAAAATGGCTTCCAGGGTTAGCTACTCCATCACTTTCCAAGGGATCAAATTGAGTCTGACTGGCCTGTAGTTCGCTGGGTCCTTCTTGAAGGTATGAGTGACATTTGCTTTTCCCTGGTCTTCAGGCACTTCTCCCAATTTTTCTGGTCAAAGACTATAAAGAGTAGCCTCACAATTACATCAATCAGTTCCTTCAGGTTCATCTTCCATCCCCAGGCAGAACTCTGTGCAGTCCAACTCCTCTCTCTGGTAAAGGGCAACTCCTCTCCCTTGTCTCCTCAGCTTGTTCATCCTACAGAGCATGTATTCCACCATTGTAACAGTCCAGTAACTGCATGCAGATCTATAACTCTTCCCATTTATTCCCCTGCTGTGTGCATCAGCATAGAAGCACTTCAGTGAGGCACCCCAGCATCTTGACTTACTAAAAAGGGTTGTGGGAGTTTCTCCATAATGGTGCTTTGCAGGAACTGCTTTGCCTTACCTGTAAGTGCTGGAGGTGACCATGCCTAAGCCCCATATTGTTGATTTTGTGATCCTTTCTTTCACGAAACTCCACAGCTTTTGCTTATTGACTAAGTCACTCCCCACTCTTCTGAAGGGGTGAGGAGATATTTGGAGTATAGCTGGCTAAGCCTAAAACACCTTTTGGATGTGAAATGTCAATAATATCAATGATCTCTATGCACTGGGGTAGAAGTGGGTGTAAAAGTCTGTCAGTACAAAAGGCTGACATTTGTACTAGCAGTACAGAGGCTTCCATCTCTGTTAAGGTGAAATGTATTTGTGGTTGAATTCAGAACATGCATTTGAGCACTTTCTGACCCTTGCTTCCTGGAGCATTGGTGTTATTTATAGAAAGCTTTCAAACTTTCTCCTACTGACGTTAATTGCCTGCCTATGCAAGAATAGTATACACAGTATCAGGTAGCTTTGTAGTTTGCTAATGGCTTGATATGGACATGTTCTACTTCTTGCACCTTCTCCAGAGCTAATAGCTGGTTAAGGTCGACAGTCAGCTGAATGGATTGATTCCAAATGCTTGCATAAAGCTAGAAATGTACAGCTATTCAATGACTATGTGGCTTTTGATATCTGACTAGTGGCAATATAATGATGGTAACTATGTGAGAGTCTTGTTCCTGTGGAGGTATGGGAATAAGAACTGTATGATATGTAGCCTGTGAAGGACTATCTCAGCTCATGAGCACACACAGGTACAAAGCCAATGCAGATGCATTGTGGGATTCAGACACAATGGACATAACTTTTAGTAGAGGCAGCAATGGTATATCCAGCCTCACTGGAGAAGCAATTAATTTTATGGATGTCTAAGAGGCGGATCCTAGAGCAGCTAAATTCTTGGGCAGTGATGGGTGGGCACTGCCTCTTGCTGAACATAAAATCAAAAAAGGATACTTTTATTTTGTTCTGCTTTCCTCAAACAGACTTCATTCAGCTGCATATCCCAGTCTCTATCTATATTTTGGAAACTCATTGAATTCTTCCTTTCCAAACTAGAAAACATTTGTATTAATGTCTATTTTGCTAACTGATGGGTGATAGAGAGGACACAGACAGCAACAGAGACCCTTCCGGTCTTACTTTACTAGCAGTATTAAGACAACACAAACCCAAAATAATGCATTTAATATGGCAATAAGCTTAGCACGTGCACCATTTTGGCAACAAACAAAGCAAGGTAATGAATCTAATCATTACTGTATAAGCAAAGAACAGTGATTAAGAAAGATACATCACCAGTTACCCCATTAATACATTACCATCATCCAGACCACTTCATTCACTGGGGAGCCCCGATCACAGCGAAGGGTTGGAGAACCACTCCCAGTAACTGGGAAGTCCTACACAGTGCATCCACTCATAGGTGAGGTCTCCATCTTTGCTGTGAGGGGCTCCAGCTTTTATAGGGATGAATTGGCAAGTTCAGAATGACTTGTATATTTTGTTATGGGAAAACATCTGGTAACAGTCTTCCCAATTACCCAAGACCAGGGTTTGGCCACAACCCAGGTCTTGGTTGGGCGAGGTTCCTAAAGGTCTTTAAAATATCTTGCAGACAGTCACAAGAGTATACCACAATTTCTTAAGCATCCAGTTTAACAGACAACATTTAGCAAAAGGTTCCTTAAATATATGGTTTGGCATAATAATGCTTATCATAAGCAGTCTAGCTAATCTGTGTATAAGGTTCATATTTAGCACAAGCAGTCTAACTAAGCTATGTATAAGGTTCACCCATTTTTCTGTATCAAGTAGGGACAGCACAGGATTCATCTGTAAGTCAATTCTGGCCTGTCTCAGGCCCTGGCACTTCAATGTCAGCACGGAACAAATATTATTATGGAGACCCCAATGCAAAATTGAAAAAGCTAACAGCTTGGTGACATGAAAGAGGGCATCACAATCTGGAAAAATAGAAAAATAATGGTTTTATACTAAATAAATGGTCAAGCACTAGTTTGAAGTTATTTAATGTTTTTATCTACTGTACAAAAGAAAAGGATGATGTGAAGATATCCAGAATCCCAGCAGTGCTTGAACAGAATCTAATTACATAACTTTTCAGCAAGTATGATTTTGTGACAGCTGTGTATAGCACAGACTAATGAACATAAGCCAGTCAATGACAAAATTCAGCTGATACTTAATGCATAGTATGAAATAGTCTGAAAATCTAATTTTTTTCCCCCTGCAGATCAATAAAAAGTTACATCATTACATAAATTGAACTTAGTGATACATGAAATTGTTCATGAGAGGCCAGGGTAGAACACCTACAAGGCTGTGATGACCATTTTGAAGACTTTGTCTTTTATGCTGTTCTTAAAGACATTTTATGTAATTCATACCCTTGTAGCAGTCATGTAAACCTTCTATGGTGTTATATGATTTCAGACAGATTTGTGCTGCCATCTTTGTGCCATATTGCACACCAGACATCAGGATAAAACCTGCAGTGATGATGCTGTGGAATCTAATTGGTTTTTAGGAACAGAAGCCATGATGTTTGGGCCAGCCAATATCTAAAATTGAAGTCCGGAAGCAGTTCTGTCTGGTAAGTTGAAGGAGGAAAGAAGCAACACTGAAGCAAGTATAAGTAGTGTGAGATTATTGCTAGTGCTTGAAAATAACTGACATGTAACAAGTCAAGCTGATGCTGAGCAGCTCAAGTTGGAGTTGATAAGTGTGATGCTAGTGCTAAAATTGCTATTGAAGTCAAACAGCATCAAACCACTCAATAGTTCACCATGTAGAGTCCCTGGATGTTACTGAAGACATGGGTAGTCAACATAGAAAACTCATTTATTTGTCCTTTTTAGCTTTATTTGTATGTATGCACTGTGTTACTGCCAGCTACAACAAGTTTTGGCTTCAAAGGGTGATGCAATGACACTCTGGAGGGAAAGGCTATCCTCTTCTGCTCATCAACAGACTTCAAGTGCAGCTCTGGACTTAAGAGAAAAGGTTTTAATACTAGAGTCCCTGTCTAAGCTCTTTATTCCCTGCCCAAACCAAACTCAGCACAGAAATCTGTTTGGACAGATGGAGGCAAAGGCTGTCATTTTCTAGTTTCATACTGTTGATATTCTGAGTGTTATCCTTTGACCTGCCTGCAAACAGCTCACTTAATCTTTCCCATTCCTAAATTCCCCTGCCTGAAATTCAGTTTTATGTGACAGCTCTGACACCACAAAGTGATTCTAATTCCCTTTCTCCAGCTCTTGCTCAGTGTCACAAGCATCCAAAACATCTGAAATATTTCTTTAGGGAAGTACCCTTTCTCTGCTTCCTCACTCTGTGCTACCGTAGATAACAATTCAGCTGACAAAATAAAAATTTGCATCACTCATTGACATCACTCATTGACTAGCTCCTGACTTCTGATGATGGCCATGTTCTTCCAGATGCTGCAAAAACAGATCTGCAAGTGTGAAATCAGTAGACTGTAAGGACTGTCAAGTATATCCACTGACTCCAAGGTGCATAAAGAAAGGCTTACTTGCCTAAGAGGACTAACTTCTCCTGCGCATATATTTTCAGAATTATTGGAACAATGTGGGTTGGGGTAGTGTCTACTGAATATAGTTAAAGTTGAATTTGTAGATATTTGTCAAGTTAACTACTTCAAGGACTTGTAGCAAAGGAGGATGAGAATGTTGCCTTGATGTATGACAAGGTGGCATGTTAGCAGCTTTATTTTTCCTCTTTATTTGGGGGAGTGTTGAGCATGATCAAGACACTCAAGCTGAGTGGAAGCAGAAGCCACAGTCTCTCTGTAGCCTTATCTAGCCAAAGAAGTGGCAGATTAGAAAAACATAGAGATAACACAGAATTGGATGAAACAGCCAAGTCACTCATGCATGAGAAGATTCCTTCTGGGTACTGAAGGGAGATGCAGAGGTGAGATACCTGATGTCAAGATGAAGGTAGAATGCAGGAAAACCACATTGTTGAGGGAGTAGCATTTAGTGATCATCAGCTGGACTGAAGAAAGAAAATGTTTGTCTTGGGCTTTTGAATGGAAACACTTAGAATGATACAGCCATTGAAATGCCCTGATGTTGGCATTTCATTGCACTTGTAAGATTCTCTTACACTCAGTACAGGATGGGATCTTTTGAAGTAGAGGTGATTGGATCTGTGCTGTAAATTCCCAAAATGGGTGCTACAACAGCTGGAGAGGAGATTTTTTTTCAGAATTAGGGTTATTGACTGGGCTGACCTCTTCAAGCTGCATGGGCAGATGTTGGCCTCACTGATCTCTCAGCCTTGTCTATAACAGCTGCCAAGGCTGTTTTTTTAAAGTTCAGTTTCCTTAAACACAGATCTGTGTAGCAATATCTTCTGCCTCTGAATGTAGGCAGAAATATCATCTCCGCAGGACTGTCAGGATTCTGTTCAGCTTTCATGGCTGCCAGACTGTTTCTTATGCCAGCTGCAGAGTTTTTAATCTTTGAGGTACAAATTACATCTGGAACTGGACCTCTGAAACCTTTTTTTTATACTTGTGACAACTGCCTCTTTCAGCATTTGAGTTGTGTACAAATGGCTCTTCACTTCATGGTGCTGACCTTTCAATTTGAAATTGTAGTAATTTCCTTTAGGAAACTATCCTGGGGACTACTCCAGAACTTCTGCATATTTGGGGAAGCGGATGCCCTCAGGATTGGGGCTGTTGGTATTCATCCAGTCCCTTAAGGTTTGCCGTAATTTGGTCAGTTGACAAATGCATACACTGGTCAAGGTGTTCAAGTGATCAAGGCTGATGGAAGTGCATCAGTGAGCACTCACATGATTATGTTAGAGGGAGACATATAGTATCTGCCAAGCCTTAGGCTGGTATTTGAACCTTGGGTAGGCTGGTGTCTGTGCCTGGGAGAAGGATCTTGGCTTTACCTTTCTGGTAAAGAGAGGAATTCTTAAAGACCTTGGTGTCACAAGTGCAGCTGCTGTATTCATCTTTCTCAGTGGTCTTCCAAGTGTGATGGGGAGGTAGCCTTTGCAACTGAGTTCTTGGTAGGAACCTCATGGGAGATAACAAGTGGGAGTCAGTTCTTGTTGATGGCCCCAATGACGCTGAGGGTCCCTGGCTGGCAGGGCCTGCCCAACCTTATTTTATACATATTTGGGATGCCAAAATTCAAATTACTCAGTCTTCCCCACCAAAGATGCTCATTGTGGACATGCACAGATTTCTCTACTCTCTTTCATGAGTTAGTGATGGCATTGATAACCCTGGAGGGCATTGATAACCCTTGTCTCCAGCAGTATGGTGTCCCAGGAAAGGGCGTGTTAGTTCTAATAGGGTATTTTAGGCTCTTTGATATCCAAAAACTTGTGATCCCACTGTTGTTCATCCACTGTGTGTGCATTAGTCATTCCCATCAGAAATAGAATGGTGATGGCTCAGGTGAGCTGGCCTACCACAGCAGACCCATGTATCTCATAGGCAGCTCAGGTCCTTAACCTGGAGTAAAACCTAGGACCTATGGAGCACTTCTTGTGATCCCATCTGCAGGAAAAAGCCAGGCCCACAAACTGGGAAGAGAAGATGTCAGAGACTTTCTGGTAGGAGTACAAGGAACAAATGCAGTGGATGTAGAGGTCAGATCAGTGAGTGCAGATGTCATTGCAGAGAGTGCTGCACACAGATAGGAGCCATCCTTTGGGTGTCTGTTTCGGTGACACGAGCAGGCAAATGGTGCATGCAATGCATGTGTTGTACTAAGGAAGTGCACAGGTGAGATGAAGACACCTGAGATCATAGAATGGATACTGAGCACTGCAGGTGCAGTGTGGACATGACACTGTAGATGTGGTCTGTATGGTGATGTTTGGGCTGCAAGGAGAAAACTGCTAACCACAGGAGGTGTTTGTGGCTGTGTAGAGGTAACAACTTATGGTAACTGTAATGCAGTTTTTGGTACCTAACCACATCCAGCTTAAATATGCATGTCTAATGAGTTAAAGAGATTATTAAAATGCCTATCTCAAACTGGGTTTCTACAAAGTGTTGCCTTTTACCTCTGGTCAGCATAGTGTTGTTGAAAAGAAACAAAAAAAATTGTATATAATATATGTGCATCATTATGTATCCACTCAGGCATGTGTTACGAGCCTGGGAGGCCAAGTCACCTGCAGTCATCACCACTCAACTTCTGATGGGAACACACAATGTATGTGTACGGGATGAACAGTGTGAACAGATATAGATAGATAAATATGTAGAGAGAGAGACCACAGTAAAAAGAATCATTGATAACGTTTGTTCTGTAGGAGGTCTTTTTTAACTCCAGTAATAAACTTGTGTTTCTGCGCTATGGATGTATTTTGAACCTTTTATGCAAAATCTGCATTAACAAACCCAGTAAACCGAGCCTACTTTAATAGCTATTAGCTGGTAATTAGTCTCTTTTGGGGAACAATTAGAGCTCCTCCTAGTGCCTTTGGAATAATATTGTAGAAGAGATATACCAGTTACACTGAAAATACCTTGCAATTTTCACAGAAATAAAAAGTAATTAAGATCTTGCCTTAGTGTTCTCATTATCTACATTCTGAACTAGGATTGTAATTGGAAAATGATTGGAAAGCTTCCCCTTAAGAGCTATTCCTTGTTCCTTTTTATGTCTGTCTTCTATAAACAGATTTTAGAGTACTTGTTTGTGATACTGCTGCAGGGGAAAACAGTTGCATTTTTGGTTTATTAGAGTCAGACAAGACAACTCATAGAGCTGCATAAACCTGTGTAATTATTTTCTGTTTATCTTATATTTTCAAACCAAATGTATACTCAAAAGGATAATAGCTAACTAATTGTGGTTAGAGCCTAAGCTTTGTATGTATTAAATCAAACTGAGAGGGAATTCTTCTAACCTACTTTATATTGTTCTTCCTCAGCTCTGAATTCCTTTGCAAAGCAAAATTTTACTATAGCAAAGACATATAACTGCTGAGTAGTACTTTTGAAGTAACATAACATTAATATTTACCCTACTGTACATAAATATAGGGGTTTGTTCATCCTGGAAAAGAGAAGGCTTAGGGATCACCTAATTGTGACCTTCCAGTACCTGAAGGGCACCTACAAGAAAGATGGAGAGGGAATTTTTACAAGGGCATGTAGTGACAGGACAAGGGGGAATGGCTTCAAACTGAGAGTAGGTTTAGACTAGATACTAGGAAGAAATTCTTTACTGTGAGGGTGGTGAGGCACTGGAACAGGTTGCCCAGAGAAGCTGTGGGATACTGGGTACCCACTAAAGCCACTCTCTCACTCCCCTCTGCAACTGGACAGAAAAGAGAAAATGTAACGCAGAGATCACTCACTGATCACCATCACAGGCAAAACAGACTCAAAGTGGGGATATTAATTAAATTTATTACTAACAGAATCAGAGCAGGAGAATGAGAAATAAATTAAATCTTAAAAACACCTTCCCCCCACCCCTCTCTCCTCCCATAGCCATTGTGCAAGGGACATCCTCTAGATCTTTAGGGGTGTTACCACTTCTTAGATTACTATAAACAATTTCCAGCACTGCTGATTCTCTCAAGTACTGGATACCTTTGTCTACATTGGTCCACTTTCCTGGGGAGTTCATAAGATCTTCCTTAAATGGATATCTTGCCCTCACAATTGAGAGGAGCCATCTCCAGAGACTGCAAATTGCTCCTTCTTTCCCAATTCTTCTTTCACTATCCTGATCTCTAGCAAGAGATCCCAGCTGCTGGGCTCCATGACCTTCCAATTGCTGACTATCAGCCCCATTATCCCAGCATCGAAGCAGCCAGGTAGGAGTCCGCTCACCTGGCTGGCAGCTGTAATCTTTCCGCAAGTCTCCAAGTTCTGATGAGGTCAGGGACCAACTAACTTTAGTTTCCTGTTTGATTTGTCTCACTCCTTTCAATTTCTTTGTTGAAGGACCAGCTTTTTAATCTCATCTCCTGATTCTCCTTCTTCCTCTTCTTCTTCCCTTACTAATCACTGATATGGGACCTGTAGCTTGCCTTATCAATTTTTTTTTTTCACTACAGGGGCAATGACTATAGTTGTTGTAGTTTGAGTCCCTATCTTAGCCAGAGTGTCCTCCAATGCAGTTTGGGTCTGCATTTGGACTCTGCTACAGTCCTCTGTTAAACTCACTTCAGCCTCTAGTACAGGCAACTCTTGGCACCCCCCTATCACTCCAAACATCCAGAAGGGTTCTGCACTCCTGTGTCTTAATGACATCAGTGTGCACTGTGCACCAGTATCTACAAAGCTCTGTACCTCTGTGGATCTGATGTGCCAGGCCATCGAATCCACACAGTCCAGTATGCCCAGTTATCCCTTTCCTCCTCCTGGCTGAAGGCAGGGATTCTCTATTCCTGTTCCTGGTCAGAGTATTCACCATCTGACCTTTGTGATGCCAGACCAGAGGTCCCCTCACCAGGATAAAAAGGAGTTGATTTCAGTCCTTTTATGTCTGAGAGGTTG